GAAGAAGGCTTGAAGGATTCAGCAGGTCCTGGAACCCAGGTGAAGGAGGGTCAAAGCTACATTGCTAGGAGGGAGTAAGGCTGTCTCTTGGCGACAACTACCTTATTTCCTCAGCAGGCCCAAAACTATGGTCTAAGCTTCATTCTCTAAAGCTTGGTGTGCAAAACCAGGGTTAAGTCTTATGTAATAACTCTTGCCTCAACATGGGAAAGTGCTCCAATCACCCTAGGTTGCCTTTTCCAGTGGGTAGTGTAACCTATTTTCTTTACCATTCCAATCCATGTTGAGGTGAGCAAGAAACAGCCTGCATGTCGGTCTCTGTGTAGTGGTGGCTTTTAGCTTTTTTAATACTTTAAGCATCAAACTATAGCTCTGCTGAAGCAAACCAGCAAAACTGGTATTTGGCCAGTTTTGAAAATAGCCTGAGAATCTGTAGTAATAGTGACACTTGGATAATTTTTTTTTTTTCCTCTCAAATGGAGCAGACTATGTGACTGGAAACATGAAGCTACTTTAGTAGGATGACTTTAAAGGCAGCCCTTTTCTCAGGGTTAGAGTGCCCCTTTCCAAGGCAAGCACTTAGCAGATGCCACTTACTGTTAAGATAGTATCAGCTAATGTAGCTGAGTAACAATAGGGAGATTAAGGTCACTTTACACTAGCAACTCGTGATCAACCCCCTTCTTTTGTTAGTATATTACTCCTAAATTTTGGAGGGCAGGTAGCACCAGTTCTTATTATTTCTCCACTGTGGAGTAGTCATTTCTTAACTACCAGAGTGAGGTATAAATGAAAATAAATCAGATAAATGCTTATCTGTGGAGGGTTCATGTAAATATTACTGCCTCACCAATGAAAGTGGTGGCATGGAATACCTGATTGTGCATCGTACCATTCATAAAATAGCTCCAACAAGCAAGAATATCTAGAATTACAATGTCCTGTGAAATGCTACTGCCTGTCTTAAAAATCTCCATTCAGCAGTGTATATAAATATAACTGTAGCATACAGAGGCAGGGATTCAGAAATCTACAAGGAATTGCTGTGACTGACCTATAAGAGACTTGACATACTTGTGCATAAATCATTCAAGTGAGGTAAATGTGCATGGAATGAAGTATGATACAGACAGCTCTGAATGTCAGCTTACTATTGTAAGTTTGTTATTGGTAGGATAGGGAATCAAGCTTTAAAAGGCTTACTAAATATATGTATTTAAAGACTTTCTTACATACTTCCAATATCACTTGAGTAACAGACTAACATTCCCACAAACAATGCGTGTTGGGAATTCCACATTCATTCCTTCCTGGCTTTATTTGTAGAGGAATACAGTCACAGAAATAACTAACCTTTGAGCCTAACTTGTAGTTAACCTCTGGAGGGTCTTAGCATTGTTTCAGCAGGGTGGCCTTTAATAAACCCCATCATATTATTGACTTGTAAGGACAGTCTTTCTCTACTGCAGTAGTGTGGGTTTCTCATGGAGCTGAACTCTAATTTTTTTTTTTTTAATGGCATTAGATGTATTGCTTCACAAGCAGCCCGAACTGCAGAATCCAGAATGCATACTTCGGATTTCTCAGTGCATCCTCTTAATGAGGATCTGACACTGAATAGCTTCAAAAAACTTCAGCTTCCTTCTAGAAAACAAGCAGAGGGTGCCTACAGCTTCTCCCACCTCCATCCATCCCCTTTCCATATCTGTTAAATTGAATCTTGGGCTTTATTCACAGGTGCCCATGGATGACTTCTTGTTTTGATAGCCAAGGTTCATAGTGTGAAGCTGATCACAGAGCCACTCTGCTTTGAGTACTTAATGGCTTTCTGTGTAAGTCTGCCATAGTTTTAGAGCAGGCAGACAAGCTGCTGCTTTACTGTAGGTACTCTAGTTAAAATAGAATTTATCAGGGCTTAAATTAGAAGTTCTGACCTAAATACTAGTATCAAGACTTTTTTTACATTTTTATGGCATGTTGCTTACCTTAGAGCCTCAATTTGGAAACTGAATCTCAGTACCCTGTCAAAGGCAACCAAGGTTTCACCCTCAATTAGGTGACAGACTAAACTTTGCAGATATTGAGCAGTATGTTGAAGCTTCCCCATTCAGGTCTTTGCTTCACTGTGGTTTCTCAAGCAGTAAGGCTAAAAAAAACCCAACCCAAAACCAAAAGAAACCTCTACCATTTAATAAAGCCATTCCATAAATGAGCAGAGAGATTCCGCTTTTTCTTTCCTTGCTCCATACTTCCCAGATTGCCTTAAGATAGAGTATGGAAAGACAAGTGAATCTTATTACTTTACAGGTTGTTGTTGTTGTTGTTACCTTTGAGCCTGGTGATAATGCTTTTTTTTTTTTTTTGGCCGCTTTTCAATTAAATTTGTTAAAACTTTGTTGCAGTGAAAATAAGCAACTTCAATCGTGCAAAGCCAAGACCTGACATAATTGAAGAAGAAAAGATGTATGCCTACCCTAGTCACATTACCTCAGAAATCGGATTCAGGTAATATTTCCTGTATTAACCTTGTGCTGTGTTCTGTCATGGTGCACAGGTAGCACTCATTAATGTAACTGTGTCACTTTCACATATAATATTAAATCTGTCAACCAAAGCAGAGGTGGGAATAAGAGTTTTGAAGGAAACTCTACAGTTAAGACTATTCTACAAGTACAGACAAGGAGTAGCACAAACTTGTACTTTCTACGTAGTAATGACAACTTGTTATGATACAGAAACCATTAAACATGAGGATAGAAATTATTTGACCATTTATGGCTGGTTGCATGAATCTTTAATGTGCTATAAATAGCTGTGCTTAATCTGTGTTAGCTGACTTTATATGGGAGTTTGAGGAGAGATAGTGGTGCCTTCATGTTACTTAAAGCATGGCTACAGAAGCCTAGCTTCTTAAACCAGTTTCAGGCAATGAAGGAAGTATATTGTGGGCAGTTGATAGAAGAATAAAACAGCTTTGCAGCTTTGTTCTGTGCCAGCAGTTGGACAGGAGATTCTAGCAAGGGATTTGGAATACAGTTCCAGTTTGGGAAAGAACTTTCAAGGTGGGTGGGGCATGTAAGAGGTAAGGAGGTTATTAGTGGGACAGAGAAGCTGTCCAACTAACCTCACAAGCACTGAGACGTATTGCTTGTTTGTCCTTTTGTGTACTTTGACTGTTTGAACATCTTCCAGTTGATGAAGTAAGTCTCGTATAACTTAAACCAACCATCAATGGTTTATGCTTGTATAAATGCTTGTATTTCATACAAACATTTATTTAGAAATTTTCTAATACAATATGACTTGCTTTTGTATGTGTGCCATAGTGAAAAGTTGAAGTGCAGAGGTGACTAATACTTTGGCACTTCCCCTGGTGTCACAAATGCAGCCTACACATGCTATTATGGAATTTGGAAGTAGATGTTCAGGATACAGGAAGTATTTAGAGTTGTCCCAAATTTTGATACAATGTCTGACTTCCATCTTGATATAAACACCATGGTGAATGCATGGTGGACCTCATGGCTTTTCTCATTCATCTTCTCCCCTGAGAAATTCTCAAATGCCCAGAGAACAAGTTTGCAACAATGACCAGCTGAGGAAAATACTCTGATTATTTTTGATTAGAGTGCAAACTTCCTGTGAGAACTGATTGCAAAACAGTTACCTTAATTCAGCTCTATACAATTTTCTTTCCCTTGAGAGTTAAGGTCTAATGAAAAGTGAATCCTGTCAGCCCTTAAGTTGACCCTGGTTATAAGAATGTGGGTGGTTGTTTTTTTGGTTTTTTTGAAGATCATGACCTCTACAACCTAAGCTACTGATCAGGACCTCTTCTGGTCTGGTGCTTTAAGCTGGTGGTACAGATTACTGGTTAAGGTTACAAGCTTTCTCTCTACAAAACCTGTTCTCTTTTCCAGATCAACTATGGTAGGTTTTTAATTGGACCGCAGCACTTTTCCACTATAGCTATCCTCCTTAGCACTTTACGAACTACGAAAAGGGCAGTGTTCTTCCACAAAATGCTGCAGGCCTGAGGGAAAAACATTTTAAGTTCCAAGGTGCTCACATGTATATTAAGAGGGAAAATTCCCAAGTCAGCTTGGAAGAAGTAATATGTAAGGGAAGACTGGAGTATGCTCAGGCATCGGTATTTGTTCTTGTTGTATTCTTAGAAGTTCCTAATTATAGATTTGACAAAATTATGTACTTTTAACAGGTTTTTCTCAATTAACTTGGCTTTACTTAATGCTGCAGTGTTACTGTCCTAGTTAAAATGAGATGTCTGAAAGCTGGAGATTTTTGAAATGGGAAGTTAGTTGCACATGAGGTAGATCTGAAACAGCACAACTGTTTGGTGCTGATGCTGTTATGGTATTGCGATAGATAATGTCAATGTATATAGTAGTTCATCAGGTATGCTACTATAGGTTAACCAAGAAATTTGTCTTAAACAGCTTGATCTCCACAGCTGAATAAAAATACAATGCCTACTTAAAATAAGCTTTCTAATGTATTTGGGAAAGGTTCCATGTATTTCTTAATGAGCCAGACAACATGCTAGAATTGCACTTAGTTTGTGAAATACTAAGAACCCTCATACTACTACAACTTTTCTGTAAGTTTCTAGCAGGAAATATGTGACATGTACACATGGCTTGAAGTTTGACCGAACTTCTCTCTTCCTGCCTTCTCATGCAAAATGAAGGTTAAACATAAAGGTGGTGTAGATTGCCTCCTCCCTCAAGTTACTAGATATCAGCAAAAGTAAAACTGAAGAAAGCAACTTTTCAAAGCTAATTAACCAATGTTTAAACACTTTGTATGTTGGAAAGCTGCTGTTACTTAATGAAAGCCATATTCACTTTTGTTATTTCAAGGGAAAATTCAAGTTTAGAAGAGATAGTTGAGAAGCAAGGAGATGTAATTGAATATCTTCAGCGACACAATGCACTGCTCAGCAAAAGACTACTGTCACTAACATCTCAGCACATCAAAACTTAACAGCATTTGGAAAACTGCTACTGGAGCCCTGGAGGGAACACAAGGTAATGCAGTATCCAGACTGCTTTGTACACACGACTCTTCCATCTTTCACATTTTGAAATGGAAGTTAAGCTGGATAAGTCTGCATACACTATAAACCTATCTTGAAATCATCTGTTCTGAAAAAAGTTGTGGAGCTTCAAGAACTTTTAATTCCTCATAGCTTAAAGTTGGACTTGAGATAATAGTTTAACATTGTTCAAGTGTTGCTATTATTTTGTACTGCTGTAACCTTTAAGCTTCAAACTACCAAAGTATTTTCTATTTCTACAACACAATTTTTTTTTTTCCTCCAGAGTCGTCATACTTTGTGAAGGATGTCTTTTCAGTTTCTAGTACTGAAGCTGAAACTAGATGTGTTCTGAGTCCCATTACTTCCAGTGTTAGAGGTAGTGTACTTCCGTAGTCCTATACAAAGTAGATACTTGCTTTCTAGATCGGTCGCCTTTTTCTCCTTTTGTCAAGAAAGAATGAAACTGTTGCTTGTGCCAGTGGGGATATTTGGCATCCAATTTAAGATTTAAAAAAAAAAAATGGTGTGTGTTCTGGAATTGTACCACACGCTTATGTGAGATTTGCCAACAACATCATGATAAGCAGTTTGAGCAGTTGTTCAGGAGTCTGGCTTTAAAAAGTGAAAGAGGGATCTTTGAGGCTGACTTTCCTGTTCCGTGGAGTCTGTCAGCTAATAATAAGGTTTCTTGTTTTGCCAGCTGAACTAATAGAGTACAGAAATACTTGGGTAGGCATTTTCATTGACCTAGTAACTAACTTGTCTTGAATGGGTTTAAAGATCCTGTTAAAAATGCATCAGTTATACACATCCTTGCTCTTTACTTGACTCTTCAGAAAAATGTCAGCATCTTGGTTCCACAGCTAAAATGGTATATGTGGGGAGGAGAAAACCTGCAGAAGACAAAGGTTTTCTAGAAGTTGGAGAAACAAGAAATTTTGGGTTTGTTTCATGGATTTATTGGGATGGCTGTTGGAAACCATTCTCTTCTGGGTACTGTTTTGTCTACCAATATACACCAAGAATTATTTTTAGAAGCCAGCAACTTTGTGGGGAGACAGGGTAATTGCTAGTCAAAACTGGGAGGGAGGCTCTCAGGACCAGTGGTCTTGTAGTTGAAGATAAGAAAAACAAAAAATCCATCCTACTTTTGGTACTAGGGCACAACTTCAGAAATTAACGGTTTAGTGTGCAACCAACATGGGGCTTGTCTCATTTAAAGAAGAACAATATGGGAGGTTTTGCTGCTATCCAACACTAAACTGTTCTCAAGTGTTTCTTGAAAATGCAGCCAAGATTTTATAATATACCTGTGAATAATACAAATACTTGTTTTTAGAACTCAGGTTTTGATGTGATTATGTATATCTATTTGTATAATTTCTCTAGAAAGCAGTAAAATGTGACTGGAGTTCATGCACAATAAATGCAACTAAAAAAAGTGTGAATTATGTCATTTCTAAGGTCATGTGCAGCTGAAGGCTGTTCTGATGGGTGATCTGTGCGGGCTTAGCTATACTGAACTCTGCAGCAGGGTTTTGGTGCAAATCTGTTGTGGCAGGGATAGCTCTGCACTCATTTTGAAGCTTTTAGTTTTATTCTCTTTCCTGGGTAATGCTTTTCCATCACACTTCAGGCTTTCTCTGCAAACCTGTTTTTCTCCAGTGCAGAGGAATTGGCTGCACAGTGTAGCACAACAACTCATATCTCCATGATACCCCCACCCTATAGTTAAGCTTCTGGAGGGGGGAGAAGTCTCTTCACCAGCACCCAGGCAACCTCTGTCCCAGGCAGCCCCGCATCTTGCCACTGGGCCAGGGGCTTGCAGTGACATCACCGCAGGGTGCTGCGGCAGGGCACGCAGGGCGTTGTAGGCCCGCTCGGCAGCCCTCTGACCACCATAGCTGCCCTAGCCTGGTTCCCTGACTGGGAAGACATCCCACCAGTGCGGCCTGGAGCCGTGCGGCCTGTCCTGCAACTGAACTCATCACCCATGGCAGGTGGCGAGGGAGCTGACCAAGGAGATGTGATGTGCAAGCCATGTATCTTAACCGTTACCCTCTGCCAGCACCGGGTGAGGGGCTGGGCACTGTGGTAGCTAACACTGCCCAGTCAGCTTCCAGGCAACACTTGGTCTATGGCCAATAACGCAGCCTGGGTCACTGCCCCCGCAGCATCAGCACCTGGTCACGGGCTGGGCTTTCACTGTCTGAAGTGAAATCCATAGTGTGCTGCACACTCAGTAACCTGTAAAGCACTGGGGATGAGTTTCAGTGTGAAAAAGGCATCATCGCCTTGTGCACACAATGGTTTACACGGGTGATGCAGAGCTTTGCTCACCGCCAATGCTGCCCTTCCCAGGCATGGGGCAGCAAACCTGTGTGTGGGTGAGTAGATGTGAACAGCTGAAGAAATTACTGATGCTCTTCACATCACTGCAGCTGCTGAAATGCATAAATATTTGCAGATCCAAGGTCTTGGTACGATCTATTGGACCATAACTGGGGCAGCAAGAAGATAATGAAAGAGGAGTGCTTCCCAATGTATGTTGTGTCTATACATTAAAAAAAAAAGTCTTTTTTTTTTTTTTGCTTTTATTTCTTCAGTTTGTACCCCAACAGCTTTTTTTTTTTCTGTAGAAAAATGTACATGTTTCTCAGGTTTGGGAAAACAAGTATTTGAGACCACCAAAGAAACACAGATGATTCAGAGTTGCCCAAAAGTATTCGTGCTGCATTTTTAACGATTTCTAGATGAAATGTGCTTGATGTTTTGCCCATGGTAAAGACTTCATGATGATCTCTTGTGAAGGCACATCATATAAAAGGGAAAAACTCTCAGTCGATACTTGTGTTTTCTGTTTTGAAGAGCTTATAACAGGAATTCTATATAAACACTTCATCATTTTACCTCACAAAGAAAATCATTGGTTGCAAAGGATTTTAATGGGAATTTAATGCTTTAGGGTTCTACACAAATATGCAGTTAATCAGGCTTGTGCCACTGAAGGTCATTCTTAATCTAAAAAAGGTTTCAAGGACCAAAGGCACTTGGATAGACAACAATCTAACCTTGGGGTAACTCGAGAGATGAGAGAAAGCATCCTCGGCGTTGGAGCTAGGCTTTTAGGTGTGATTGCTAACTGAAGACATAGGTTGCGCTGTTGGATTATTTCCCACTTTGCACAAATATTTTGCAGTTTTATCCCTAGCGAGAAAGATAAAGGCCATGGACAGTAGTGAGATCAGTATGCTAATCGTACTTGTCTGATGATAGTCAAACATTTGAGACTTCTTTACCATACTAATGCTTCTCCTGATTGATGTTGATATCAATCTTATGTGACCCTTAGCAAAATTTGTCTTTGTGTGTAAGACACTGAACTATTTATAGCACATGTATGTGGCGTAAAGGAAATATTTCCAGTCTTTATTCTTCTATGATTTCCTTTTTTCCATACTGGAAAGGGAAGAGGTGAATTGTTTTTCATCGTTTGGGAACACACTAATCTGCCGTTTCTCACCGCAGCCCTACGTTTACCTCCGTTTCCTGTTGACCTGCTGTTGTATCATTTTGTAATTCACTCTGAAATAGCCAATATCATTTAAAAGACTTAATGACACTGACTTTAATATTTCCCTATGTAACTCTCCAGGACAAGGAGTTAATTCTAAGTTTCGGTAACTTGCATTTTGGACTTCAGTTTGAGTTCTGAATTTAGCTTTGGATCAACTCTTTTGTTAGATTGCATCCACACAAACATCAATTCTGACTTTCAATACAAACCCTGTATGTTTGTTAAATGTCATGTACGCTGGTACGTGCACATGGAGAGTTCAGTCAGTTCAGCTGTTGCAGCGCTATTCCAAACGCTTCATGTTGATATATGTAATCACACCAGTATCATGCAAAATGGTTTTTAAGTAGATGAAGCTTAAGTTCCGCACATCAGATGAAAACGGGTCATTTCAACAAAGTCAAAGGCTCAGCTGAAAACAAGGCCCCTTGAAGCCCTGCTCCCACTGAAGTTAATGCCAACGAAGGGTTGTGCTGTAGTAGCCTCACTTGGCTCTCTAATTCTACTGTGCGAGACATTTAGCACTTAGAGATCTGTAGTGTCCAAGCTCTAACAGGAGAAGTTACTGCACATTTTAGCTTCTGCTACACTTCAGACTACATCTGAACTCAGTTTTTGTCCTGAAATAAGGCAGGCCATTGTCTTTAATTTGTGGGAGCATTCAGATTTCATGACCTCGACTCTTGAGATAATTTAAAATCTTGTTTTATGTTGAGGCACGAAGACAACAGACAGTCTGTTGTAATCCTACCAAGGTACGAGGATGTCGTGTTACAGCCTGCCGTGATTACACCAACCAGTAGTTTTAAACTAAGTTCTTTCTCCATCGCTTTTATCAGAATTTTGTATTTTTAGAATGATAGAATATGTGAGGAAAATGTTTACACGTATAACTACTATTTATTTATGTGAGAAATTCAGTAAGAAAATGAATTAGACACTGATCCCATATAATCCACAGGGACACAAGACAAGTTCTCCATTTTCTTTAGATTCATTGCCTTTGACAGCTGAGGAATATAAATTTTGGAAAGTATACGAAGTTTATTTAAAATGAGACATTATTGTTTGAAGTGCATACTGCCTTTTTACAAAATATACAATCAACCAGCTAGTTTATAAGCATACCTACCTAAGATCACTATCAGTGCCTTTTTAAAGAACGTTTTATGGAATCAGCATGTCTAAAAAGAACAGACATTTACAATAATTTTATAGACTGACAACGGGCTTCCTAGGACACTTTGGTACTTGTTTTTTACTTAATTTTTACATCCATAAGGGAACATACATTATAGGTCTCTGATACATTATGTTTTTCTTACAAAGTTGATTGAATAATTATTTTTATATAAAATATCCAGTGCCACACTAGATCCATACACTCATTTATAAGACATAATTGTTAAATAGTTACTCTTCACTTCTTGCTTTTCCATACTCTTTGCCTGTACGTTTTACCAGAGGTAGCCGTGGATACATGCGGAAGTTCGATTAAATAAATA